TATTGAAACAATATATATACATTGAAACTTAATGTTTGGGTAGAGTTACTAGAAAAAGAAAGCTTGTGAACTAAAACTTCAAACTTCCAGAAGCATTTCTTTCTTTTTTTTCTTTTTTCTTTTTTTTTTTTTTTTTTTTTTTTTTTTTTTTTTTTTTTTTTTTTTTTTTTTTGGTGGAGAGGGTTGAAATAGAGTTTCACTATGTAGTTCAGACTGGCCTTGAACATACTACGTAGGCCAGGCTGGCCTTGAACTTGTGGCGCTCCACCTGCCACCACCTCCTGAGTGCTGGGATTACAGGCGTGCATCACCATGCCCAACCAACAATTATCTCTTTAAACCGACCACATCAAAAGCTTTGTCAGAAAACTAAGGAGAGGTTGTTCATAATAATGACAAAGAAAATAAGCTAGCAGGCTGAGGTTCACTTTTTGTAAGTATCTGAAAGACAGCAATCTACTGTAGTACCTAAATAAATTCAAGATTGCATACATTTTCCTAAAGGAGAGACTTAACATGCAAATTAAGTTACAGACCACTCTCTTGCCTTCTCAGTGACAGGCTGGACTCAGTCCCCTCCACAATCTTCCCTCAGGAAATGTGGAGATGGGCTCCCTGACACCTGCTTATCAAGGCTCAGATAGTGATGATGAATCCAGTTATGCAAAGCCCTGGTCCATGGTGAAGCTGCTCAGGTGAGCTGCCAGAACAGGTTCAACCTCCCAAGGAAAAGGCCAGACCGTCAGCAGCCCAACAGCCAAGCGCAAGAACAGTGAGCCTGAACCTCCTGGGCAAGGGTCCACTGGGATAACAAACTCAACTGCGCTGGTTTTCCCCAGTAACTAATTCTATGTATGTTGTTCATGTAAAACATGTAGCTACTGATGTTATGAGAGTCCAATGATGAGACTAAATCATGTCTCTGCATGTGTGTGTGTGTGTGTGTGTGTGTGTGTGTGTGTGTGTGTGTGTACGTTTGCGTTCACTGGTACCAAGCTGGAAATCAGGGGTCTTTGCATTGAGTTACAGCCCCTATCTCTTTTTAATTTTGAGAGAGGGCCTTGCTAAGTTGCTAAAGCTGGACTGGAACTTGCACTAGGCCTGCCTCAGCCTCGTAAGAGTGCAGTGATCCTGGGTTCACAGGTGTGCAACATGCTGCCTGGCTGTCAGCCTTTAATGAATCACACCGGTGTGTTTAGTGGGTCTAGGTAACCATGGAAAATTACCTCAAATTCAAACTTTGAGCTGCCAAAATTCGTCCTCTGTTTCTGCCAGAAGTTGTCTGGCTTGATGATGAGGGCAATGTGGATGCAGCAGGGAAAGGACTCCTGTAGGATCTTCAGCAGGGGCTTGATGGAGTCCCACTTGGACCCACGCATGTCCACGATCACTGTGAAGCCTCGCTTGCACACCTCCTCGCTGTAGAGAAGAACACAGGCTGAAGGCACAGCTGCAGCTCCAACCACAGGACCTGCTTAGTCTCCCTTGGGCTGTGGGACGCTGCTTCCTCAGTCTTGCCTTATGCTCGCTCCGGAAGAGGCTGAGCCCTGACCTCAGGAACAAGGAACATTTGCCTCCTTAGGCAGCCCCTGGGCAACACTGCCTCACGCTTCTGTGCAGGTCCCTGGGCAGCACTGCCTCACCCTCCTCCTGTGCAGCTCCCTGGGGAACACTGCCTCACCCTCCTCCTGTGCAGCTGCCTGGGGAGCACTACCTCACCCTCCTCCTGGGCAGCTCCCTGGGCAACACTGCCTCACCCTCCTCCTGTGCAG